ACCAGCTAGGTACCATGCACCATAGTCAGCGAAACTGAAGGACTCGGTAGTTATTTGGCCCGCCGGGAGGAGGTTAGGGAACGTCGTCCTATCAGCAACGCAGAAGTCACTCGAGCACTGGCCAGATGAAGAGGATGTAGTAGTGCTAGTCACAGGACCACTAGTTGAGGTAGTAGTAGTGCTAGTCACAGGACAACTAGTTGAAACAGTAGTAGTGCTAGTCACAGGATCACTAGTTGAGGCAGTAGTAGTGCTAGTCACAGGACCACTAGTTGAAACCGTAGTAGTGCTAGTCACAGAACCACTAGTTGAGGCAACAATAGTAGTGCTAGTCACAGGACCACTAGTTGAAACAATAGTAGTGCTAGTCACAGGACCACTAGTTGAAACACTATAGTGCTAGTCACAGGACCACTAGTTGGAACCGTAGTAGTGCTAGTCACAGGACCACTAGTTGAAACAGTAGTAGTGCTAGTCACAGGACCACTAGTTAAAACAATAGTAGTGCTAGTCACAGGACCACTAGTTGAAACAATAGTAGTGCTAGTCACAGGACCACTAGTTGAAACAATAGTAGTGCTAGTCACAGGACCACTAGTTGAAACAATAGTAGTGCTAGTCACAGGACCACTAGTTGAAACAGTATAGTGCTAGTCACAGGACCACTAGTTGGAACCGTAGTAGTGCTAGTCACAGGACCACTAGTTGAAACAGTAGTAGCGCTAGTCACAGGACCACTAGTTGAAACCGTAGTAGTGCTAGTCACAGGACCACTAGTTGAGGCAGTAGTAGTGCTAGTCACAGGACCACTAGTTGAGATAGTAGTAGTGCTAGTCACAGGACCACTAGTTGAGACAGTAGTAGTGCTAGTCACAGGACCACTAGTTGAGATAGTAGTAGTGCTAGTCACAGGACCACTAATTGAAACAGTAGTAGTGCTAGTCACAGGACCACTAGTTGAAACAGTAGTAGCGCTAGTCACAGGACCACTAGTTGAAACCGTAGTAGTGCTAGTCACAGGACCACTAGTTGAGGCAGTAGTAGTGCTAGTCACAGGACCACTAGTTGAGATAGTAGTAGTGCTAGTCACAGGACCACTAGTTGAGACAGTAGTAGTGCTAGTAATAATCACATAAAGTTTACCGAGTGTGAAGCGCAGAATAGTAGGCTCAATAATAACACCCGAAGATAATCCTACCACGCGAAGTGGGGATCATCATCAAACTGGTGTATATATACATAGATAATCCTACCACGCGAAGTGGGGATCATCATCAAACTGGTGTATATATACATAGATAATCCTACCACGCGAAGTGGGGATCATCATCAAACTGATGTATATATACATAGATAATCCTACCACGCGAAGTGGGGATCATCATCGAATTGGTGTACATATATAGATAAGCATACCACGCGAAGTGGGGCGAAGATGTCCCTTCTGGCACATCGTGTCCCACAGTACCGACATATGGCGATAGTTAACGTAACTGAACAGTAAAGGGGCATCTTGACATTGATAACTTACGAGCCATCGAAACTGATCACTTGTCGCAACTCATTGAGTAAAGCCTTCCTACAGGCTTTGATACCCAACACATTGAGGATCTCCACGATGTCATTGGAGGAGGTACGGGTACTGTCTACTGCCTCCATGGTCAACACCTACGAGTAAGGGTCGCAGGTTCGATCCCGGCACCATGCATTATTTACCTGCTCTAAATTGCATCCATCAGTATCCAAAACCCACTCCCTGCTACGAGCCTACAAACAACGGCCATGCAGCCCCGATCTCAGCCGTATACAAGTGCCTACGAATGTGCCCACATCATTGCCGTATTGAACCTTATTGTCTTGTCTCATGTAGCACTTAGTGACACCGGGTATACCTTACCAACAGCAGCAGTGTAGACAACATCATCAAACTGGTGTATATATACATAGATAATCCTACCACGCGAAGTGGGGATCATCATCAAACTGGTGTACATATACATAGATAATCCTACCACGCGAAGTGGGGATCATCATCGAATTGATGTACATAGATAGATTCCATGTGATTCGATACCGACCTGAATAGTGGCTTCTTTTTTAGGAGGACAGAAAAGAGTGGTTTGAATTAATACCAATTTTCCAGTAGTGCTTTTTGTTGAAGTAGGAATATATGTAATCGCTTTCCTCAGCTCAGCTCAGGAGTTTCCTATACAATGTTGGAGTAGGAATAAATGTAGTCGCCCGTTTTACGCGGAGTGGCGTAATACTCCATCTGAAAAACGTGATATTCGCGATGTGAAGTGAATTGAAAACACTTCGCGAATTACACCGGACAAATCATCACATTTTACGTAAAACACTCCCGGCATTTCGCGATAAACGCGAAAAACTCAGAGTAACCAGCGTTTTACACCATGCATTTCACAAGGGAGATTGTGACTTTCGTGAAATTATTCGCGATTTGGAGACGTGAGAAGAGGCATATAAAATGAATTTCACTCCCCGATGTGTTCGCGAAATTCACATGGAGTAAATCGCAATATGCACCGACTAGGGTGGAAAGACCAGTGAAAAACACTTCACCTTCATTTTTCGCGAAATAACGCGTAATTCGCCAGAAAATACGCGTTTTTCGCGTTTTACACGGGAAAAAACGCGAAAAACACCCCATCTCGCAGTAAAATCCATTAAAAGTCCTCTTTATGCCACTGCCAGCTGTCCACCCACATTTCACTCTATGGAGTCACCTCACTCGCGGGATCCGTCTTACTACTGGCACTTCCACGTTGGGGCCTCGTGGGATGATGATCATCATCCCGTCAACAGCCATATGTAGCAACCAGCCTTGCGGACCCCTCTGTGAGGGATTGTGGGCGAGAGCTGAGCGAGGTTCGAACCGGGGACCTCTCGATGTACGGCCCAACAGGCTAACCAGTTCAACTATACATGCTAAAATTTCACGGAGTACCCGTCCACTCCGACTTCATCAGGTCGTTATTTTTCACTGGTTTGGATAGCTTAGTAAGAGCAGGGCTTGAAGACCTTAAAAGAGTAGACCATATCCTGTGGTGGTTCGTTGCGGATCCGAGGCACGCTGCCGCAGGCAGCTCGAATCCCAATGGTGGCAGGGGTGGACAGTTTTGAATAATGACATGGGATTCGAACCCGAACCTCCCCAGGAAGGCCTTGATCGGTCAATGGTACGATAGTGATGCTCGACAGCGACTGTGCCACTGCGTGGCGGAGCTCATTCCACAGTGGTCACTTCATCCACAGCGAGCTCTTATCGTTATCTTCCCAATCGGGCTTAACGTTCATGGAGAGTCTGGGTGCTCACGGGCCAGACCCGTGTGAGACGGAGTCGCTGGTACGGCACCAGTTAATCGGGCACCTGCCTTGTGACCGAGACTTCGGGGGGGGGGTCCTGCAAGTCTACAGTCCTCTCCACACCACCTCGTCGACTAACTTTAAGTGATTTCATGGATATGTGTAGATATTCAGTTGAACTGGAGGATCACTGGAGCCAGAGTTGACCAGCGAGCAAGGAGTGTGGCTCCTAGCAATTTGTATGCTTGTCGCGCAGAACGCGTAAAACGCAAAATAATTTCGCGTTTTGCATATCACATGAAAAACACCTCACATGTTTTACGCGAAATTCACTGCCCACATGCGTTTTTCGCGAAGTGAAATGTGTAATGTGCTTTTCACTAGTGCTTTTCACATCACGGGTGAAACTCCAATGCTCATCCGAGGTCGCGACTTACCATCCCATCGTCGCCAACTGTGATCCATATATCCATCTTGAATCATTATGATGCATGTACGGAATAGGACCCGAGTTCGATCCCTAGTCCCAACACCACTAAATAAAGAAAAAATAAAGATAAGGTCGCAGGCTCGATCCCGGTACCATGCATTATTCATCTGCTCTAAATTGCAGCCATCAGTATCCAAAACCCACTCCCTGCTACGAGCCTACAAACAACAGCCATCCAGAAACCATATCCATATCCATACCAGTTGAGGCAGTAGTAGTGCTAGTCACAGGACCACTAGTTGAGACAGTAGTAGTGCTAGTAATAATCACATAAAGTTTACCGAGTGTGAAGCGCAGAACAGTAGCAAGTACTAATCAGCTAGATGTGGCTGGAGGGGAAACCATACGTCCTGTGGTGTCGCCACATACCTTCTAGCCAAGTAGGTAGTGTACCTCCTCCTGAAGGTAGTCTGACATAAATTCCAACACTGACCCCAGCCACTACCATAACTAAAACAGCTGCTACCAGTTTCTAGTTGCCTCTTCAGCATCTGATTAAGTTTAACAACATCCTGCAGTTTGAGAGTGAGATCATTCTCAGCCCTGTCAGTACCACCACCAAGAAGCCGTCATGCTAAGGATCTCAACTATCAACTACTAAGAACATTACTAGGCCTGACCGGCGGTAGGTGGGGGACAACAGTTAGAATCAGCCAGGATGGCTCATATCGGGTACCGATATCCGAGATAAGATGTTGTACCTGAAATTGATGATGAACATAATGAACTCTTCACTAGAGTAGATAGATGGGTACTTACGCTGTTTCTGCGCTTAAAGGGTATCGTTTGGTATCACCCTCATCCACTACCACACCATCTTCATTTTCCTCCTTGGCTGATGATGGGAAGGATACGATAATGCCCTGCATACCCTGCAGGACTGTATACGAGGGTTGAGCGCAGCCACCAAACCCTGACATGTTCAAAGCTACAAAACAGGTAGTTGAGTGATGTATTAACGTACCGGTGCGAGCAACATCATTTTCAACATCATCAATATCCTCATCTGCTTACCACCGCCCTTCATCACCGATTTCATTCCTCCACTATCGCATATCACCTTGCATATCACAGACATCTGGAAATGAACTCCACGTAGAAGGCGAAACTCGAGTCGAGTCGAATTTGAGTAGAAAACCATCAACAAAAACCATCAAGATTTCCTCACAATTTTCATATTATCACCAACACAGATATTTTCCCACACTATGCAAGCTCTTCAATTCACTCACCGATGCGATGATGATGATGATGCCTCTGAGGCCACAGGAGCCCCCATAAGAAGCGTGTCAAAGTCCACCGGCCAGAAATATCATCAAAGGCTCTAGTGCGAGCGACGTCTTATGCATTACATATATTGGAGTTTCACCCGTTTTACGTTA